CATGTTGTGTTACTGGTTTGATGTTCTTGCTACAAAATCTTTAATTACAGCAAGGTATGATGATGTTATTACTCACATTATCAGGCAAGTTTAAGAACTAAGCAAAATCTTGCAGAAAGTCTGGAAAATCATCAAATGTGTGTGTGAATGATCATAGCAATATCCAAACAAAGATTTGGCTAAAGGAATTAATGCTGGTTTCAGGTAGAATTCTAAAAAGAAATATTTGAACATTACCAAGTCTTTGATCCTAGCTGATTTTCAAGAGGATGTTGATAAAATGTTTTTGCTTTAGGTAGTTTGCCATATTAAATATGGAAAATTAGCAAGGATAAGGTATCAAAGGATGCCTAATAAGTTTCAAACTGCTATTCCATTTTCCGTCATTTTCCTCATCCTTTGCTTGAAGTAACTTGACACTTGCACTTTCACTGAAGTTAATATGCTGAAACCAACCCTGCAAGATTACACCACCAATAAATTTATAGGGTCTTTGGATCTTATGGATTGGGAAAAAATGCATGGAAGCCTCAAAGACACTCCGATATATGCAATATAAGAAAAAAGTGAATATTGTCTGGAAAACTCTTCAAAACAAGCAGATTTGTGAATATTCGAGTACAAGAATGTGAATTTTGGGGAAAAATGTGAATTGTGTATTCTCACTATGGAAGTTCATCTATATGTTTTGTTGTGGATGAACCCATACATCTACAAGCAAGAAGGTTAATTTAGCATACAGTGTCAATATTTACCTTACATCAGAGAGTATCATCCTAATACCATCTCACAGTGTTGGAATTATGTTGGACTAATGAGATTTCTTCAGGTAAGCAAAACTATTTCACAACCCATCATGTATCCTCCAGAGATCACAATGATTAGCTAAATTAGTTCATTCATGCCGTGGACACCCCTACTCAAGCATGTCATAAGTCTATTTTGTTTTGGCAATTTTTGCTTGGGTCTGAGTTGGGCTTATGTTCCGGGACTGAGACATCACCTTTGTTGATGTTGCGTTAACGCCAGCTCCATGTCTCCTCAGGAATGTCATCATTCTCCATCTATGTTTTCCCTCCGGCTATCATCAGATGCTTCTGTGGATTCCTGCATGGTGCGGCCCTTGGTTTTAAAAACTTGTTTCTTTTACTAGTCCGTTATAAGAGTGGTAGAAGATTTCATGGAAAATCTCTTATGAAAAATCATGTTGCATTTCAGTGGTTTAATTGAGGGAGACCAGAGGTCTTGGTCCTTAGAGTTCAATAGCTTCAGGGGTATTTTGGTTCAAATACAAAAATCAAGACCATGAAGTGTTGCAGGAACCCCTTTAATGTCTCTCATTCGTGTAACAAATGCTTAACGCATCTGAGATGGATACAATCTGTGGACAAGCTCATGCATGTGGTGAAATGTATTAAGAATTAAGTTACTGTTTTCAGCGTTATAGTGTATGAGTATTAGGTCTAGGATGATTTGAAGCTCAAAAGGGATAGTTGGAAGATTTATATATTGTTGTAAAATAACATTTCTTCATGGTTAGGAGTTAAGATCATTTTTAAAAAGAAATATGTTTTTTAATTTAATTATTTTGCGCTACAATATATTAAGCTTTCATCCAGAAGGTGCTGGAGGTTTAATTCTCATTATCAAATAACTCCAATACTCCCTCACACGTGCACTTAAGCATGCACGAGCTAACGCACACACACACACAAATATCTCTCTGAATCGAATCCAACCATTTTGCGTCCTAAAATCTGAAACTTACATGTCATCATGATGAAGTATTGGGTGTTACTCGGAAAGTACATTCTTGAAATATTCAGACTGTTTCATCTTGAGAAATTCCATTTAGCAGACTTCTTTAATGATCTTATACAATTGCTTCAATAACAGGATTGTTAAGAAATCATAAAGTATTTATGTTGCAATGAATCAACAAGCACACTGCCTGCCTCCGTGGCTTTAAGGCAAAGCCTGTATATTTGCCCACCGTCTTGTTCACCATACGATAAGTGTATTTGCCTGTTTGCACATTTATCTTCACATTTGTCTATTCAATATTTTTATCAATGCAGGACGAATTTGAACAGTCAAGCCACGTTGGTGTGTGGCTTTTTCAGGTATCCGGATGAATGTAATACATTGTATGTCCCAAACAGTTTGTCGTGGTGTAATAAGAAGGGTTACACCTGTGAACACAGGTAGTCACTGTTATGTATGATAATCAAGCTGTTAGGAGTTCCCGTTGCACGTGCATCTCGAAGGATCTGGAATTCATGATGTGCCAGTGTACTCGATAATCTGTCGCTGAAAATAGTTTCGCTATTGATGTGAAAAAGATGAGTTTGTTCCTCAACTCAGAGTAAATAGTTCTTTTTGGTAATATTTTGTCAAACGTTATTTTTGATTGTGGAGTCTTAAAATGGAATCTGATTAAGATTAAGAATGTGAAGGTGTAGCTGGTTGATACTGGTGCTTCAGATGGTTCGCTCTGCAATAGGCATGATAAGTGTCCCTTGAAAATATATTCCTTTGATGAAATTGTTGAAGTATGAGACACACCTGAGATGAAAAGTTCTATTTTGGGATTCTTTTTGTGAAATGGGATGCACATTATCGCATTAGTATTCATATTGGAACCTGATACGTTTGAAATATTGAGATTTAAGTTTCCGTCTGTCTCATATGAGGACCTTAGGGGATAAGATGTTCTGTCAATATTGGTTTTAGTTTACAGGTATCTCACACAATAAGGCGTCTGCCCTATGTATTTGAAATGTTAAATGTGTTTAATCCCAGTGGGAGAGTAGATCCTCGATGTGTTTATCGACAGGGAAGATTTCATCTTATCAGTTTTGCCCTGTATTTTCAGTCTGATGTTAACATAGTATTAGAGGCATGATGTTAATTCATGGCAAGTATTCATAAGTGAAGTAATTGGTTTTGTATGACTTGTCCTATCAGTGTTATATGACCCAACACTACGCATACATCAGGTTCAGCTTACATATGGGTATGCCAGCCTTCCACCCTTCTTCGTCTTTTCGACTCAGACATCTAAACCTTTGTAAATGAGCAGAGGCATTGAAACCAGCCGTTTGATCTCTGTCAACTAATATGTATGTTTTGTAGCTGCGAAAGATGAGTTGCATATCTTATGTTTGCACTGCCTCTTGTATAATTGATTTTTCTCTTTCGAAATTCTGTTCCTTCAATTTCAGTATTACTCTCATGTCGTGTGTATTGTTGGAAATTTGATTTACATAGGTAGCTTTTCACATCAAAGTGGGCCTTCATATTTGAGGGGTTTGCATGTAATTTGATATTTATTTTGAATCAATCAGTCAAGATTAAAGTTCAAATATCAGCTGGTCGCTATGTTGTGTTGAGGGACTGTTTTGATGAGTGGATTGTTGTGGGCAGAACAGTTGTCAAAGGCTTGGTGTTTGTTTGCCTTTACATGTCGTTAATGTGTTTGCTTTGTACAACCCTTGACAAGATTCCACACACCTGCAAGTGAAAAAGATGTCAAGAGGTTAAGTTTAAAAAAAATGCCACATTAACAGCTTGTTTGAAATTTATGCCGATAATAAAAAGCATTAAATATAGGGCACTAGTCGTTTGTTAGAGATATGAACTGTTTTGTATGTTTATTCTACCTTGTCTGAAAAAAATGAATAAAAACAGTTATTGATGTCAGCTACGGACATTGTTACAGTAAAATGACCTCATTTGTGGTGCGGAAATATTTTCTTTATTGGCACCGGTGTGATGTTAAATGTTTTGCTTGGATTATTTTATATACCTGCAGTGAAGACTTTCATAGATGTGTAACTGGTTGTAAGTAATTGCAACATAACTTGAAGGTGTTCTAGCTCTTCCTTTGATATTTGTTATTGTTGGTGATTTGTCGTCAACAGACCAAACAATTTTGATAATCCAGGGTATACTTGCTCCCCTGTGGGTTACACTGACATAAAAGATAACAGGGTTTTCTTATAATAGAGTCCTTGTATTAGAGTGTCACTGGCTCCGTTAAAATAGCATTGTTCAAGTTTCTTGTTCTTGGACACACTAGGAAATCATACTTTTTAGACAATGTTTAGATTTTTAAGCCCGATAAGTGTACATTTGGGTGAATAGACTGGACAAATATATGGAACATTATGACATTTGTAAATGTTTGATGCTCAGTAAGGTTAATGAAATTAGCCTGTGGATTCAGAGAAATTGAAATTGAATTAAAATGTGCATTCATTATATTCTTGGAAGATATTTAACTGATGTGTTGTTGCAGAAACTGTTTTGCAAGTGGTGTAGGGTAGTCGATAGAGGTGGGTATTGCAGAGAAATTTCATATTGCGATATATTGCAAGAATTATTTTTTAAACAAAAATTACTTATAATCGAGTTAATGCTTGATAATAAAGCAAAAACACAACAAATTCACTATGATTGATTAACCTTTAATAAAAACTTTTAATCATAACAAAATAAGAATGTAAGTAATATTTGGCACTAATGAAACGAGGAAAAGAACAATTTAAAAAGCGGAAATACCCGAAGAATTCCGAGTGTTACGAAGTTTTCCGAATGCATGTCAAAATACCGGTTTTCGATCAGCGTATCGCAATTCGTATCGTTTTCATATCTGAACCGGTAAATACCGGTAAACCGGTTATATTGCGCAGACCTAGTAGTCGAGGGTACCTCGCAACCAAACCATTGGTTTGAATCGGCAAGTAGGTACTGTGTGTCAGAGGTTTGTGACACAAAATACTATCACTAAGGTATATATTGTCACTTAAGACCCTGTCAGTGACGGTATATACCTTTTTTGCATTACACGCTCCTTTGCTGTTTGTGAAGCACATTCTCTGTATAGTCCACCATGATAAGGCTGGAATACAGCTGAAAGCAGGGTAGAAACAAAATGTCCTAAAGACAGTTCATTCTGTCCTGTGACTACGTGTTACTCAAATTTGTTTCCTTTGCAGTATGCTGAGACTGTGAGCAACTTCCAGAGGAGGGATGAAATTTGTGAGAAGACTTTGGAGTTCCTGAGGACCAGGTCAGCAGATGTCTATGTGAGCAGACGGTCACACCAGATCCTGGAAACTCTGTTGTATAAGACAACTCTTGTTGTGCAATCAGGGAGATACAAGACAGGACTCACATTCTTACAGGTAACTGCCACCCACAACTTGAGTTTTTGTTTATGTCCCTCAATTTGCTATACAAATTTATTGCACTTGTGTGCAAGAAACGTATGATCATGTATTTTAGTCAAGTTTCTGCCCTGATTATGATCCTTGGTTGTGAACACCATGCCCCTCAATGTGAGTTTCACTAAAATTAGGCCTGCATTCCTTTGCTCCTTCATCAAACTGACAGCCTGGGATGTACGTTGAAAGCTGAGGAAAAAAACACCTTCAGAAAAGCATCAAACTATACACACTTTCTGTTTTTCAAAGAGTAAGTATGAAGCTGTTGGCTCTTGTTTGATTCTGTATGGAGAATGTGGAGATTGAGAATTACCAGTTTGAGGCAGAAAAGGTGGATTATGTTGACAACATGTGATTGGGCTGATGTGCATGCTCATTTTACATCACCAGTATAGATCAGTGCTCATGCTGTCAACCACTGGTTATGTATGGCACTTGCTCATTTGCTCAAAAGCTATCAACAAGCCCATCCATGTACATACTCATCTGAAATGTAAGGGATGGTTTTCCTAATTCATAATAATGTATGTAAAAAAATCCACCGAACACCTTAAGTAGGTATAATATCAAGACCTTGAAGATATTTACAACAGTGGTAAAATGCTGCAATAAAAGTGCTCCTCATGAAACAGATGTAAACTTTCTGTCAGTAATGAGACAACTCACGATGCATGTTCTTTGAAACGGTTTCTTTCATGTCTGTCTGCCACTTGGTCTGGACCTCTATAAGCATGCAGCCGTGAACATATTGCAGAACAGCTTCAAATGCGCTTAGATTGTTATTGTCGCTAACTTGCACCACTGCATTCAGTCTGAATGGAAACAATACGTGGGGTGGGGCAGGCATGCATTGTAAACTGTGCTTGGGGATTTGTGTTTGACACTGAGGCCAGAAACGAGATCCCTGTATGCTTCACAAGTTTGTCTAATGTCATGCACAAGTCAACGTGGCCGACACTTTACGTAAGATCAGGAGAAAGGGAAGAGAAACAGTAGCCAAAGTCGTGCACTGACCTTCCAAAAGGCCCCATCCCTCATTCCCACAACCATTTTCGACTTTCATAAATGCAAATCCTGGATTAAGTCCGTCTGGGATGTTTTTTGAAGATGGAGAATAGATGAATTAACTTGTGTGGAAATGTTAAACATGATCTGCCTAGGACTCTCATCAAAGCACTCTCAACATAGACCTCCATTACATTGGGCAGTTTGTGAACGCCTGCCACACATGATCGGCATATCGGGGTCTCATTTCTGTATCTGCCTGTATTTGATGTGCATCAGATTTCATGGTGTCACCCCCCACAGCCTGCATGTTCTTCAAACACAACCAGCACTACTGTTCCCACCCCCTGTGGGTGTTATTGTTACGCTGCGACTTCCTATGGCAGGGCGCCCCTCGGTGTGTCTTGAGTACAGAGGGCGCCCTCTACAGCAGGTTCTGTTGTCGCCACATGCATGTGTTAAAACATGCTCACTCTTTATGTGGAACATGTGTGGCCAAAAACACAAATGTTTGAAAAATGTTGTAAAATATTTACGTTTTTAACCTGTGATCTGAAAAAAAAAATTGGTAGGCTTTCCCCGGTGATGACTAAAATGTGTGGATGTGTATATGATCTCCATAATCATAGGGTATTTAAGTCTGGCAGGTTAGATTGTTTGCTTCAGGCTGCAGTAAACTGTTTTTGTTTCATGTTCATGATTTATATATGCATTAGACTACAAAGATGTTGATGGACTTGTCAACCAAACAAAATGTGCTGCCAAAAAGGGAATTCTGAAAATGATGTATTTTTATAAAAACAAAATTAAACAAAAAGGCTATGCTGTTACACAAATTAAATTGTTTAATGCTTTGTGTCCTATAGATTTGGCAACTGTTGCCCTGATTGAGTTAGTTGTGAAAGGCTGACACTCCTAGTCCACCAATATTTGATGAAAACAAAATGTTAGAGTAAATTGGAACCCCATGTGATTCTGGATTAGAATAGTCCAAACAACCTGTGTTGGTTGTAAGAGGTGCATTTAAGGATTGGGTAGTCAAGATTATTGTGGCATTAAACAACAAATAAGAACATTATAAATCCGGATGGTACCGATTCCAGTTTAAATGATCCAGATTGTCAATCACCCAAAACATCACTAAAGAAAAGGCCTGCCCATCACCCACTCGATCACTCTCCCACTCATCATGGACTCACTCCCAACTCTCTTACCAGTTGAGGTTCCCCACATTTACCAGCAGTGCTGTTGAACCAGGCTTGTACAAGGCTTGCTAAACACTTGAGTGTGGCATGGCAGTAAGCCCACAGTGGCAGTGCAGAGCCCTGATTCCTTCAACAAGACCTGGAGATCTACATCTCCACCACAATGGCTCTTCCCTCATTAAATGTCCTGGTTGACGCTTTGAAATAATTAGTGCTGGGTATGGCTAGTATTTGCAAGGGCAATGTGATATTATTTGCTGTTGGTGTCATGAGAGTTGATGAGTGTAATGTCCACCTCTGCTGTTTGAGGGCCTGTGGATCTTTGTCCTCATCCACCTTTGGCCTATGCTGGCCCCACTAAGTAAGGGTTATGTTACTGGGGATGTCACCCCAAGTGTCAAGCAATATTGTTACTTTTAGGGCTGCTCTCAGACAACCAACAATGCTCTGCCACATAATATGATGTCAAACTTAGAACTAAGGAAGAATGCCATTCTGTTGCTGATGAAGTAATAGGACATCAATCCAAACCAAATAAGCCCATTTCATCCAAGAATGACATGCATTTAAGAATCAGGGATTAGCTTTTTACCTCGCTTTGAAATAATGAGTCTATGTAACTCATCATTAGGAATCTTTTCCTCCCACTAATAGACCTCCTTCGGAAGTGCCAAAGTTATCAAATGTATCCAATGTTGAAAGGAGCATGTCATCTCCAGTTAGCTCAGATAATGTGTGCTGTGCATGGGACTCAAGTAGAAAATTAACCAGCAAATCAGTTGTGATGGGAGGTTTGATGGGCTGATGTTCATGTCACTTAGACAAAGTCACTCATCATTCTGTGGTATGCTTCTGCCATGTGGAGTTTTGACTTTTTTATTCAGATAATGGAAATATAATTTTCCCATGTTACAAAAAGTAGTAATAGGTTAACTTTTTAATACTCTTTTCATTTTAATTTGCCTCTGCCCCCACAGTTGTGTTCGTCCGGATCCGTCCATTAACATGATTAGGATTCATTATTAAACTCATTAAAGGTTAGATTTAGTTGTTTGAGGAAGTACTGCATTATTGACTACCTTTTATAGCTTGTTTACTGGGCATTGTAGATTAATAAACATGTCATCTGCTTGTTTACAACTTAACAGTCTGCTCGTACAGTTTAAGAGTGAATTCCAGCAATATCATAACCATCCCTAACTAATCTAGACTTGGCCAGACAAACCAGTGGTTGCTAATATGAGAAACATGACATACTGATGGGATGAAATATCAAGATCCTAACCAGAGCTTGACTTCTGTTGTCTCATGACTATTCTAACGCAGGTTCTTATATTTTTATTTGGGCATTTGAGAATTTGACCTTGTCTTGAGTAGGTTCTCTTTCCTACTGATGTCAATTGACATTTAATATCCGTTTTTGCAAACCATGTGTTTGAAATCATGTAATGAAAGTCATTTGAACCTGGCCATCCATAAAACATATGTAATTCCTTTGTGGAAACAGTATGATACTGATTAGATTAATAGCACATTATTTAAATATTCTGAAGCCCAGCCAATTGTTTCTTGACATTCTCACACATCTGTTTTCATTTGCCTGGTGACTGTCAGTGTGTTTGTGCCCCCAGCCCCAGTGTTTTGTGTTAAGATGACTCTTCATGAATGTAGCCATTTGGAAAAAGTGGCCATTTGTTGCACACCTTGTAAACACATTGGGTGCATTATTTTGTATACCTGGAGTAATGATTAAAATAGAGACAACCATTTTGGAATGGGAAGATGTATTTTAAGTGAGTGTAGTTTTATGTTGCTTTTACCAATATTACAGTGATATGGTAGGGGTCAAATGTTTTAAGCATGTAAATTTGAAGTGTTTTTCATCATGCATCATTTTTGTTTTTATTACCAAACGTTGATGAAATGTTACTGCCTTCATCACTTTTGATTAAGATGTGCCAAAGAAACAGTTGATGTTTGGACAGTATATGACCAAATGAAATAACTCTTAAATATGGTGCTAGGGGCATAGGTGGTCTTGGTCGATGCACCCTGAAGAATGAAAAGTCATATTCCATAGCTGTGGCAGGATCTGCTGATTGTGGACGTGAATCCTAGATACTGATTAGCAGGGTTTTACGTGACGCAGACATGCACAAATGTATGGAATGGACGCAGAAAATTACATATACTGTGTCCCCTGGGACTCACAATAACATTCACTGTTCAAAACTTGTGACAAGAAGTTCTTGTAATTAAAGTAATCATTAAACCTTACAGTACAGACTACTGACATCATTTCATCGCTTTATTGGACCCTCGTATTTATGTACGGACTCTTGAAATTTGAGAGTAGGGGTCACGTGGACCCATAATTTTGTTGGTCAAGGTAAAACCCTGGATTAGGAACCTTAGTTTGTATGGACCTTTGTGCTTTTCATAAAGACCAGCACCACAGAAGGGGTATATCATAGCCTAATAACTATTATCCAAAACAATTTAGGTTTGTTAGCATATGATGTAAGTTTGTACTTCCAATAAACTTTTATGTCACAGTGACAAATGATCACATCTCTTTTCCTCTTTGCTGTATGTGATGAATACTGATTCAGACTCAAGTTTACTGAATAACCCACTGTTTGCCACCCCCACGATCAGGTGACACTTCGGCTGAGCACATGCCGAATCATTACGCCACGGCATAGTTAAACACCTCTATTCCCTCCCTTTGTTGTGAGGTGTCTCTTTACATGGTCAAACACCATACCTCTTCATTGTGTACAACTGTCGCATTGCCTTTGAGGGCTGAATTTGGCTTCAATGGGAGTGACCTCCCCTTGTTGGTGCCAGGTACTATTGTCATGAGACCTGGCCATGTGTCTCGGTAGACAATCAAAGATCCTGCTTTGTTGATTTGGTTAATCCTTGAGACAAGACGATAACAAAACTTAGTCCCGTGCAACACCAATATGTGATGTAGCCTGCAGGCCACAGTGTCTATTGTTGGTCGTTACCAGACTCTACATCTTGCTTCACCTGTTTTCTGTGCAGATCTACTGGTCCAATTAGTGGAGGTGTATTTTGGGAGTAATTACCCTCATTTGCAAATAGATTCTTTTTGGTGTGGTTTACTCAATTTCTGGATAAAGTCAAACATGTTTGAATAGCGAGAGGTGTGTTTACTTGGTAGTAATTAGGTTAACAATGTTAAAGGTGACCGATTTTTCTGTATTCTGAAACATGGTTTAATAATTCAGAGCTTTGTGTATGTATTCTAGAACGTCAGTTGCTGTCTTGTGAGGAACAAAATCTAAATGTAAAATTTTCTGAGTGAACATGTTAAATATATTTTGAAAAAAAGTCCAGTGAGTCATAAGTTGCATATAAGAATGATAATGGTGCATGATGAGGAAATGTAAAGTGAGATCATGACATTGTTTTGGACCATTCATGAAGATCTTCCTAAAATCTTACTTTCCTTTTTGAGAAAATATTGAATCCCACACAGAGCATTAACAGGTATCTGATTCCCAAGTGCCAGTATATACCTGATTTTGGTGAAATTATAGGCTAGAAACTAAGTCATTTTTATGAGAGAAGTTCAGAAAGTGTTCAGGGAGATATGCTGAAACATCAATACAGTACAAGATATGCATGATAATCATGATAACCGTAAGCATGATGATCATAATGAAGAATCAGCGGAAGACATCCTGACCTCTTCAACCCCTAAATCCAGCTCCCTGGTTATTTAATGGTTCTTGGTGCAGTAAGGCACAGGAGGCATAGTTGTCTTGGGTCACCATGCTATCTTTTGCAATACAAAATTATGGCCCTTGTCTGCTGCAAGAATCAGTTGGCATTGACCCTGATTATAGTGCTTGGTTTGTCAGCACTTTACCCATGCTCTATTCAGGGGCGTAGCTACCATTATGCAAAAAAGCCAAGGCTTACACATGATTTTTGCTAAAGATCACCATCAAAGTTGGACAAGCTGTCAATACTATCTAAATATAGTATGACCAGAAATTATTGAGAATTTTAGGAATATGTTTAATTGGATTTCTAGTATAAACAACCTTGACCAGCTATCAAGTGCTTGGTTTCATTCAAGAGAGACAACTCAGTTAATCCTTTTCATTAGTTTGTGAAGAGTTATCCCCCTTTGTTTACTTGCTAGCAGACGACATTTTCAGTGATCCTCAGTGTGGATGATTTAGAGAAGAGGAAGTTGATTTTAGAGTATTATAACAAGGACATCAGATCAGCTAAAGTGATTTCAAGTAGAACAGGCATCCCTTTGTCCACTGTTTATCGTGTTTTAAAAAATATTGCAAATGGATATGGCATTGAGCACCAGGGAGGCGCATGTAGGCCCAGAAAATTGACTGTCGGTGACAGGAGGCGGCTTTGGTATTCTTGTTTCTAAAAACAAACGAAGGAGTTTATTCACATTTAATACGTGAGTAATGAGTGAAAAAAAAAAAAATTACAATCTTAAATTCTCAGTTTCTGACAATGTTGTACTGTATAAAGCTTGCTCCATCGAAAAAAAAATGTACTTGCTACGCGACTATAACCTGTGAAGTTGTGGGTTAGAATTGGTCTTCAGCAACCCATGCTTGTCGTAAGAGACGATTATTGGGATTGGGTGGTCAGGCTCGCTGACATGGTTGACACATGTCATTATATCCCATTTGCATATAACGATGCTCATGGTGTTGATCACTGGATTGTCTGGTCCAGACTCAATTGTTTTCAGACTGCTGCCATATAGGTGGATTATTGCTCAGTGTGGCGTTTAACAACAAACAAAAATCTATTGTGCAATCACAAAACCTGACCCTTTTGTTTTAAGTAGCTGAAATACTGTGAGAAAATTGAAATTAAGTATAAGATTGCCATGCATTTGTCAGATTCCTACAACCTCAGCTCTACCCTTCCTGTTGTATTTGCAGACTGTGCTGAGAAAGTCAGGCGATGGCAGTCTGTTGCTGCTGCTGGAGCCAGAAGATCGGTGCATCCTGTGGATCTCCTACATCCATCTCCTGGAGTTCCACCAGCTGCCCCAACAGCTCTTTGACCCAGCCAACCAGAACCCAGGCAAAGTCCTGTCCAAGGTAGGCAGTCATTAACAGTTTTCAGCATGTCATCAGCTGGCATGAAATACTGGTGAATTTTGTATATTTAAATGGGAAATTAAGCATAAAAGTCAAGAGGTCTTCACAATGACCCTGATGTGAAGATATGAAGATTCAAGGGACCCTAGATATAAATACCAATAGAAGAAAATCACAAGACTCCCAGGACTGACCTTTATATTCACCACTGCTGTGTGAATGTCATATTTGGTAACATGGAATTGTTGGAATATTGCTGAAAGGACCATTCATGAAGATCTTCCTAAAATCTTGTTTTCCCTTGAGAAAATATTGAATTCAAAACCTAACAAATAATTGGTATCTGATTCCAAGGTGGATTGGAGCCTAAGTCTTTCTCATTTTCCACAAATATATTTAAGCCAAACTTTAGGTAGACCACCTTTAAACAAACTTACGTATGTCCCTGCCACCTGTTCCATGTGTGTAAACAAACAGGATCCAAGTAATGGCAGAAATTTCACTTTGAAGTTTGTTTAATACAGACAACTTCTTCGTAACTGTTTTCTTTCAACATTCATCAAGCCAGTTGCACTTGGAAATGAGCTAATGATTTTGTTGTGCAACAGGCATGGCCATGTTTCATCAAACATACATTTGTTGCTTGAAACATTCTTTGCACATCAGATCTTAATCATTATTAGTGAGTGAGGATGGTTTAAGATGCTTTGAGCAATATTCCAGCTTAAAACATCGATTCTAGAAATGGGCTTCATTTTTACCATCTGGGAAATAAAACCGGGACCTGGGATGTGATAAGTAAACCTGTTAACTGCTAAGCTATCCCAACAACCCTTAATGAGAATGTATTACCCGTGAAGATCCAGGTTAGGGTTACAATTGATCTTCAGTAACCCATGCTTGTCGTAAGAGACGACTAACATGAGTGGATGGTCAGACTTGCTGACTTGGTTGACACGTCATCCCTATTGCGTAGATCGATGCTCATGCTGTTGATCACTTTATTATCTGGTTCAGACTTCGATTATTTACAGACCACTGCCATATAGCTGGAATATTGCTGAGTGCGGCGTTAAACTAAACTCACTCTCTCGGACAGGATTTTGCCTGGGTTCTGGTTGGCTCGAGAGAGCGAGAGAGAGAATAAACTGACATACTGCCATTCTTCGATCCAGTTGATTGCCAAACACATGTCCATGTTTATCTGAATCTGACTTAATGGAGTCTTATCACAGGCAGTAATTGTTACAGCAAGAAGTGTTATTGATAACAACTCTCCCAACAAATTACTTGCTATCATCAGAAAACCGATAGACATGCAATTTCTCCTTCAGTATTGATGTCATTTGACAGGACATGCGTTTAAATTAGTGTCAATTGATTGGAACTAATTAATGGAGGTTGTGTTGCAACTGGCAGATTTGTTCATCAATTAGAGTGGGAAAGTTGCAACATATTTTTTCAAAAGCTGGTTGATGTTTGTCAACAATTGCCACCCTGCCACATTCGTGGAAAATTTGTGTTCAGGACATAGCTTTGGCCTCTAAAGTAAGCAAATTGAACAAATGATTTTCTAGTGTTAGAATGGATATTTTTCTTTGTATAAGAAACAAAATAGTTTGCATTGATTGTGTGCTTAAAACTATTTCTGGGTGACATAGTAAGCTTTAAAAGGGAAACTGAAATATTTGAATGCTCAGAAGATATGCTTGTTTTATGAAACCATCATTGCTTTTTGTGTAATGTTACATCAAGAAATTTTAATGGGATTCTACATCATTAGCAAATATGAAAAGATATTTTAGATGACAAATGTGGCAAACCGGTCTAAAACTCGATTATTATGAGCACTCAAATATCATATTTATCAATATTCATCATTTGTCATTATCATTGAAATAACCTATTGGAACTTATCAGGAAGATTATTGTGGGAGTGATTGGTAAGGCATTTTCCCTGTAAATGCCAGTGGGTGAGATATGACAGTCATCAGCTGATATTTTATCTTTCCATTTGATAGTGATGAGCCCAAATTGAAACATCTTCTAATCTGTGCAACTTAATGCTTGATAAGGATACAGTGATATTTCACACTGTTACAAAACTCCAGGACGACCATTGATTTCAATATGTATTGAGTTTAGCATCGAGTGAAGCTGGAAATGTGTCAGTGACAGCCATGAGGATGATTTGTATGAGAAAATATCCAAGCTATCAGGCAGTAAAGGTGGCCCTGTAGACTAACGCTTAGTTTCTGAATATATATATACAATATATATAATATCTTTGCTTGAAATAAACAATTCTTTTTAAATGGAAAAGGAAGATTCAGAGGGCCTGAACCTGAGAACTAGACTTGCTTCATCTGGTGATATTGCATTGCCGAAAGGGTGAGGTAGAAGGGAGGATATGCTTAAGGGACTGCATGACAGACTAGTGGCCTAGACTAATATCCAGTCTCTGAAATGAACATCTTGTTCAGAAAAAACTGTTCCTAAAAATAAAATAAAAAATATACAGAAAAGGAGCCCTGAGACTTTCTTGGTTTCATGAAACTGGAAATCCAGACTTGCCACATATTCTAGACTTGCATGGGCTTTCTTGGATATATTTGTTTCAGGGTCTGTATGACAGACTACCTGGTGGTTCTGTGGTCTAAAATGTACCAAGTCTGTGTAGCTTCCCTTAGCCATGCTTGTTTTTGGCAGCTAACAGGATGGGTGGTGGGGCTCAATGACTTGGTTGATAGATTGATGTCAATCACTGAATTATTGTCTAGCACAGACACAATTATTTACAGACTGATGTCAAACAGCTGGAAAATTACCAACAATGTGACATGGTGTGATATGACTGAAATACTAGCTCACACGCAAACTGTCTCACTGAATATGTGTCCCAGGAAGTTGTAGAGGTTTTAAGGTTTTTTTGCCAGACCTATCAAATATGATCATCTCCAGTGAAAGACATGATAAATTGTGGCTATGGAGAACCACATCACACCTGTCCTTGCTGACATCATGAGATAATTTCTGATCCAACGAGTGTCCAGTGAATGTCCATCAGTGCAGACTGGTCCAAGCTGTACCGATTCCATGATATGTAGGACATGATGTTGGTAGACATAATCAAATACGGGTCATTGCTATCTACAAAGCTTTCACCACAACCAGTCTGAAGACATCTCCTATTGGTGTGTATCGGCATATATCTGTGTAGCCTGTTGAGGTAATGTGTACTTACATTCCCTATCAACATTGTGATGACTGGGCTGATTGAGGGAATTGATGGTATGGCTGATACTTGTGGTACTCTGGTGCAACACTGTCAGGTTAATGAATCATTTGGCTCATCTCACTCAATCCAGTAGGACCTTGACCAGCGATGCAGGATTCATTCTGAAAAAAGTTTGGTTCATGTGGTTCTGTGTTCATATCTTTGTTCAGATACATGTCCAAGATAGTGTCTTTCTGGGAGCTGTTGTGTATTTGTAATGTACTTGTTCTCTTCAAAATGAAAATTCTGTTTTACAAATTGGCTTCTTTGGGTTTAAAGTATTTGTTTCACTAAGAAAGATATGATGAATGTTGGCTACTTTGAAAGTGTGGTATGTTGCATCAGTTGTTGGTAATAGAACTTAGTAAAGGACAATATGGACCAATTGATAAGGACATGAAAACTTAAAATAGGTGACAGAATTTGACTGGATGGTAAGACTTGGTTGATTGGGTGTTGTAGCCTTATGGTTTTGTTTTTAAGGTCAACCAGTGGTTTGTTTGGCCTAGATACCCATGAAGATCAGGGTTTGAATTCGTCGTCAGCAACCCATGCTTGTCGTAAGAGGTGACTGATGGCATCAGATGGTCAGACTTGGTTGACACATGTCATCGTATCCCATAGGCCGGTGCTCATGCTGTTGATTGTCTGTTCCAAACTCTATTATTTACACACAACCATATTGTAGCTGGAATATTGCTGCAAATGGCAAACAACTAAACAAATGTTTGGCCAAGAAGACTTGATTATTCACTGGCCACCATGATATAGCTCTAAAATTGTCACCTTCTTCATAAGTTAACAAAAATCAATGCAAGCGTTATGCTTAGATTCCTTTCTTTTACATTTTACTTTGATTATCATGACATGCTTGAGACATGCACTCTTTGACCCATCGTCTGATGTTCCTTACATAACTGTGGAATAAATGGTTCCTTGTCATCCCTAGGGGCCATGGCTAAGCTCTAGGGTACTACTACCTATTTTTATACACATCTGTTATCCTGATAATCTATGTCCCTGCACTGTTTGACCCAGTGGCCCCTAAGGCGGCTGCAGGTTTACATTCCAAGTGGCTATTACCCACAGTAATGAGGGCTGGATGGACAATATAGGCACCCAGGACATTATGATGTCTTTGACTGATGGTAGCCTGACCTTGCGTTTAGGCGATTTCAACACATGGAGAAACTCACCTGACTTCCCCTTGGGAACACATGGGTACTATGTGTGAAGCCCATTTCTGGTGTCCCCCTGCTGTTATATTGTTGGAATGTTGCTAAAAGTGGCATAAAACTAAACTCACTCGCTCACCCTCATGGGAACCTAAAGGGAAAACAGTTCATTTGTACAACTCACGTTTTAACCTTGTTTCAAATCAACATCATCAATGATGATCATAACTGCCTTTGTTTAACAGTCCTATGGAAGTTGTATTTCTGTGATCACTTTGTAAGATCCACAATGTGTTTGTAGTGTTAGGACCTGTGTAACTGTATAGGTTATCATTGGCTGAAGAATGCCAAAGTGCTGGTGTGGCAATACGAGACAGCTCCCATGGTTTCATTTAGAGCATTCTAATTGTAGCTCCCTGACCCATATCCTTGGTCATGTTTTCAGTCAGAGGGTGGATAGGCCTTCCTGATTACTAACATGTTCAGCTATTCCTGACTGCAACCTTAAACAAGACCCACCTACTCAATATTAACCACTGGTTATGTTG